TTGGAGGGATACGCCAAAGACAATAAAAGCTGTCCTATTAATAGGGTTGAGAAAAAAGAATAAACGACAGACAGTTAAAGGGGAACTAATGTTTTTTTTCAACCTGGGCCCTATTTTACAATCTACTTTTGTCTAAATGAGTGATAGGATGTTCAATATTTGACATTTCTCCAGTATGAAGCTAGGGCTGACCTGCCTGTTTGGAGTAGTCATGGCTGAATTTTTACCCAATTTTGACCAACTGGATCTGGATGAGCCATTTGAATTTGATGACCACCCGTATTTATTTGAACATGGAGTACAAGGATGTAGAGCTCATTGAAACTGACGAGGAGAGAGAGGGAGCAGCAACAGGCAGAGGAACATGTCCAAATCCAGCTAAAGGTAAACACATACGTTCATTTCTCCTTTCCGTTATGTTGTCGGATAATTATACTAACAATCCGAGCCTACCTGTGTGAAAAAAATGCACTTTTAGTGGACGTATTTTGACGTTGTTTGAGGCTGTTTGAGCATGCTCACGGGCTGCAGGCAGGTCAGCCCTAGCTTCGTACTGGAGAAATGTCAAGTACTGAACATCCTATCACTCATTTAGACAAAAGCAGATTGGAAAATAGGGCCCAGGTTGAAAAAAACATTAGTTCCCCTTTAAATGTTCTGTATGTAGCGTTTTACAATTATAAATCGTTTTTTATTGCCAATGAGTGAACAGTTTGTAACGTAATTTAAAAACTGACTTTCCCAGATTTTCTCGGTTGCCTGTAGCAGCCTGCGGACTGACTTTAATGTAAAGAAATCAGGCTGATTGATGTTATACCTATTCCTGAGTGCCTTGCCTCTCTTCAGCTCTGCTACAATGCTAACAGTATCTAACAGTAGCCTACGTTAGCTACGAAGTAGAGTCTTCTAATGACTACAACCCAGCACATGCCCTGTTTCCATCAAACATTTTGCAGCGGTGGCCCTGCAGAGACCTTCACTTAGCACCCAGAAGCAACTTGAATTCAGCAAAAGCAAGACAGTGCCAGAACAGTGTGCCAGAACGCCGAGGTTCTGATCCCAGACCACCCAGAGTCACTGGCCCCTTGCCTGTGTGAACCCTGGGGTTTATACAAGTGGAGGTTTTTTCTGGAGGCTGACATGGAAGTTAGCATCACCCTAGTTCCCTCGTCAAAAAGCGTTCTTGAAGAGGTGGTCTCGGTCCGGTTACAAACAAACTCTGGTGCAGTTCGTTTCAACCTCGATCTGAAGCAACTGCAGTCACATGACACATTGTTTGGGTTAAACATGAGCATGTTACAGTCCTGGAGGATTATTAATGTGCACCTCCTCCTGTACTGCCTTAATATGCACATTCAGCACATCCAATGCATCAAAACATTGTTTTCTAGTTGGAGCCGCGCCTTGTTTTCAAACTGTATGGTTTGACTAAAATGAACAATGACAGCAATATAGTCCACGATGAGCAGCGCTAAAATCAACCTGCGTAGTTGTCCTTCCATTGTGACATTAGAAAGTGTCACATTTATCTTGCAAGTGTACTCTTCTTCAACGTTTGCTTTACTTCCTGGATTTTTCCCACATGGAAATTCTGACCAATCAAGAGCAGCTTTCTCACACAAGGCATTTGATCTGGTCCGCTTGTAAATGCTGCCGTGAGAACACAAACCAACTCTAGACAATTATACAGCTTTGTGACAAAATTAGTCCCTGATTCGGACCAGAGGAGACGACTTTAGGTCTGAAAGCAGCCTGAAATACGACTGAGCCATGAGCGAGCACTTGGGTATCAGCTACCGAGTGCAAGCGACAAGAGGCTGACTGCAGTTCACTTAAAGACCTCAGAGATGGGTGTTGATAATGACAAGTATTTTCTAAAAGTCACATACAGAACCATTAAGGATTAAAAGAATAAAAGCCTCAGATTAGAGCATTCACTTTACCTCCAGTATGAAAACCCTTTCATAGGTTCTGAGAAGAGATACAGAAAAAGATAATAACTATGCCAGCCTGAAGTCAAACACCCAGGAACAGACTGCAGCACACTTGCAAATAACTCCCGATGCATTCTGAAGCGCTGCATGTTGGAAACATGTAGTGATTTTAATTGAAAAGTGTATTTATTAAATCCCTCACGGCTACACAGGGACACCTTTCATGCGGTGGTGTCACTGCGGAGAAAATAACAGTTAATCCCATGTCACAGACTGTGATTCCTAAAGGGATCCTTTCAGTGCTCCAGAACCTACCATCCCCCCGACAAAACACAGTCCCTTCTGGCGCTAACAGCTCCTCGGCTGTGACAAATATGGTTTGAGAAAGCCGGGAATAAAAATGAGCACCGCTGCAGTTCTTTATCCCGCCCAAGGTGAGAAGACGGGGCGGCACTTTGCGCGATTTGATCCACGTCGAGCTGTAAATGGATTAAAAAGATCCATTGATTCTCCCCTCCTTCTGTTCGCACATCACACTGGCGCAATTGATCAATCTGCAAAAGTACATGTGAACTTTTGAGCCTTGCACCGTGACTGGCAGCTTCCCTCCGCTGAGTATCTTTTAAATGAGTCGTGTTTGCCAGCAGTGTGGAGAAATTGGCAAAATGAATGTTGGTGGGCAGTGGAAAGAATGCTGCCATCACACTGTGAATATTATTATGCTGAGAGCAAACAAATGTCACATGGCTCTTTCTGAAATCGTGTTTTCATACCACATTGTGTGAGAACAGCTCAGGAGAATATAAATTCTGCTTTGGCTGATGCTCGACGTCGTTATATTGACCTATCCTGACCTCATAGTAACTGAACACTTATGTGGCGTCCTCTCACTCTCCTCCAGTCCCCTCAGAGGATGTTGTTTTATAATGGAAGACTAAGCTGGCCAATTAGAGCAGAGATCCAACAGAAATGTGTAATGGTGCTTGAAGCCGAAATGTCTTCTGACACTGGTTGCTTACATGCCTCCATCTCACATCATTAAGTAGTTATAAATGCAAGTAGGAGGAAGACGTTATGGATTGGTGGCTTTTTAGAAAATTACACAGTATATCAAAGTGGTGAAAGTGAATTTTAAAAAGCAAGAATGTCAGAAATTGACCATTGACGACATCAACCATATACAGATGTGGTCATTTTAGGCAGTGAGGTTTTAAAACTAGATTTATTGCGTATTTAAAGCTCCACTGAAGCTGTTTAACCAGGGACTGTTTGCTCATGTAAACTGTGACAATCTGGGACGGAGCTGAGATACATGCATTGAACAGAAATGAGTTTAAAATGGATTTAAGGTGTTTTTTAGGTATATACTCATCGGCCTTTTACTGCTTTTACTGCCTTTAAAGGCCCAGTGTGCAGCATTTAGGGAGATATATTGGCAGAATTCGTCAAGTCCGTCTTGTTTTATGGGGCAGAAACATGGAGAACCACAAAAGTCACCACCAACAAACTGCAAGCCTTTCCAAACAGATGCTTAAGACACATCCTGGGAATACACTGGCCAAAAAGAATAACAAATGAAGACCTTTGGCGAACCTCACAACAAGAACCACTTGAAGCACAAGTCGAACGCAGGAAATGGGGCTGGAGTGGGCACACCTTGAGGAAACCTCCCTCCAACACGACCAGACAGTCCTTATCCTGGAACCCACATGGGAAAAGAAAGCCAGGAAGACCAAAGAACACGTGGAGAAGGTCTGTCAAGGCAGAACTCAAGGAATCAAGAACATCCTGGAAGGAACCAGCTGGAGAAAGTTCGTGGACGACCTATGCTCCCCAAGGAGCAAAAGAGTTTCAGTCAAGTAAGTCATTGACAGAATTGGAATATGGTACAAAAATTATTGTGTTTTCAGTACATCGGAATGAGCTGTTCATATCTACACAGGGAGCTGGACCTTGTCTGCGAAGTCTGCCACATTGTACCAACATGTTTCTTCAGTAGCCCAGAACGGACAAACCAAACACTGGCTCTACATAGGGACATCGATCTACAAAAACAGACTTGATAGGACAATCTTACGAACATTTTGGAGACGGGAAATTGGCAAAGCAGATGGTGATTGTAGAAGCAGTCGAATATTTTTTGGCGCACGTCATTTTTGGCTTTTGTCCATACGTACATTTTGAGAATGGATCCTACGCACTGTTTTATGAATGAGATTCCAGGTCCATTTGTTTTGGAGAGGAAGAGACCTCTGCAGATAATTCGGCTCCTGGTATAAACCTCCCAAATGCCTGGATCTTAAGTTATCGAAGAAAAAAGTTGAGCACACATTAGAAGGTGCTGGGATAACAAACGGAGCAACACTGATTTGTAACATGAAACTACTTTATTCAGTGTTTTTTACCAGTTTTATTCGCCTCGTCTGTTTGTTCTGGAGTGGAAGATACCTCTGTGGACAAATCGGCTCCTGATAAAACCTCCTGAACAATGAGCACTGAAGGAATCAATCTGCAGTCTTCACCACTTGATGCCACTACATCCTACACACTGTTCCGTTAACGTTAGTGAACTTGAACACCTGAATTTGCACCACTGACCCTCTGTAAACTATCTTGACAGTGCTGACCTTTGAGAAGATAGAGAAACTTGAAGGGTTAAAAATGGAGGAGGCTATGTAAGGTATGTAAGGGTGCTTTCACACCTGCCCTGTTTGGTTCAGTTCAATCAAACTCAAGTTCGTTTGCCCCCTCAGTGCGGTTCGTTCGGGCAGGTGTGAACACAGCAATCACACTCAGGTGTGCACCAAAACAACCGGACCAAGACCTTCTTGAAGAGGTGGTCTCAGTCCGGTTACAAACTAACTCTGGTGCGGTTCGTTTGTGGTGAGAAGGTGTAGGTGAAACTCTAGGCAATAATACAACTTCGTGACGAAATGAGTCCCTGATTCAGACCAAAGCAAGACAACTCTAGGTCTGAAAGCACCCTAACTTACCTGCATATTTTACCTGTTAACGAGTGCTGCGAGACATGGTGAGAGATATAAATGCAAAAAGCAGCATCCTTACTGAGCTCGTGCAGCTGTTTGAGTTGAAGGACTTGCTCCTCTCCCTCCTCGTCTCCTGGGCTGAAGTACAGGGCAGAGCCTTCCAGCATAAACCAGCCCACCCTCCAGTGGTACAGGTCATGGCCCTCTTTGTAGTGCAGTCTGCCAATCAGCTCGCAGTCTCTCTGCACCAGTCCCTCGACTTTAGATGGGACGAAGCACTGCGAATTGAGAACTTTCACATTAAACACCTTGAAACTTTTTTAACTGTGGCGTTTCACGACAAAAAAAAATAACAGGTGCTTCTTCTTTTTTTTGCATGGATAAACCTTCGCTCAGTTTCTGGTCCCTGGCTGAATTATTTCTCCTGCTCGGCTCTGTCTGGCCGTTGTTGTGTGATTCAAATTGAAATACGGAGGTGTGGAAGGCCCGTGGTACAGATGGAGAGACATATGGACTAATGCAGCTATACCTCCCACTATCTATGACTGGGTTGCCTGGGATTAAAGAGATAAAAAAGGGAAAAGGGGACATATTTATGTAGGGTGTTATTACAAGATCCTGTCAGCATGTGGGGGGAGAGATAGTCCGACCACTTGTCTTACTGAAAGCAGCACAGGCAGCACGGGGCTCACTGAGGACAATGTCGGTGTTGCAAAGTAGCAGAGCGAATGAAAAAAGCACTGGATGGATGTGCTGTACTTCTGCGGCGAATTAACACAGTTTCTTCTTTGTAACTTTAAGTGAAAAACAAACTTATAAAGGAGGCAATGGGAGTAAGTGTGTGTGTGAGTGTGTGTGCTGTATGCAAAGTGTGTCACCTTTGTTAGCGCCTGGATCCAGTCGTGCTGTGTTTCCTGTGTTTCGGCTCCGACAATCAGTGCTCGCTCCGTCTGCAGGTACAGCTCCACGGTAAACACAGCCCTGCCAGAGACAACGTGGATCAACTATTAGTTATCTGGAGCGGAGAGTGTCCTTACAAACACATGCAGGAAACAAGCACCTGAATCTGTGTACATTTGCACATGTACAATTAGAAACAGAAAAAACCAAACCAAAAAAATACGCTGGATAGTCCTGATGATGTGCTGGTTTTAACAAAAGCCGAAGAAGCTCCGACAACCACTGATGGATACAAATAATTTTAAGATCTAGACACTGCTGACTACATCAATACATCTAGATATATATGACGATATTATCCATTGCAGCTTTACATTTACTTTTGGGAAAAACCTTTTTCTAGATCTGAAAACTTGAATCAACCATTTATATTGACGGTTTCAAAAGCACATTTTAACGAACTGGGTACAGGGTTTCTACACATTTTCCATTTCTTTTCCAGACTGGAATTTCCAGACATCTCGGTAGATTTTTCAGACCATATCTGACACCCGAGTACAAAAAGGTAGCCCTCGGAAAACTTTATTTTACCCACTGTGGCTGTTCAGTCCACACTCCTACACAGAAAGTTAGACAATGTTCCACTGTCAAACATCTCTGCCCAGAGAGGAACTAAACCAACCAGGCAACCTTTCCTAGTATCATTTTCTCTTCACATATTGAATAAGAGCCAGTTCCAAATTGTCCAATCCATCGCTTTTATGTTTCTAAGCTTATCTAATCTAATCTGGTTGTTTTTGTGTTTGGTTCAGTTATATGATACTTGCTGGGGCAGATCTGTGTTTGAAGGGATAGTGCACCCAAAAATGAAAATTCAGCCATTGTCTACTCACCCATATGCCAATGGAGGCTCAGGTGAAGTTTTAGAGTCCTCACAACACTTGCGGAGATCCAAGGGGAGAGGAGGTAGCAACACAACTCCACGTAATGGAGGCTGATGGCGTCCCAGATTCAAATGTCCAAAAACACATAATTGAAACCACAAAATATCTCCATACTGCTCATCCGTAGTGATCCAAGTGTCCTGAAGCCCTGACATAAAAAGTTGTTTGGAAAAACACGCTACAATGAGGCTAAAAACAGAGTTCAAATGATGTTTTTCCAAACAACTTTTTATGTCGGGGCTTCAGGACACTTGGATCACTACGGACGAGCAGTATGGAGATATTTTGTGGTTTTAATTACGTGTTTTCGGACGTTTGAATCTGATGTGCCATCAGCCTCCTTTAGCTGGAGTTGTGTTGCTACCCCCTCTCCCCTTGGATCTCTGCAAGTGATGTGAGGACTCTAAAACTTCACCTGAGCCTTTCATTTTTGGGTGCACTATCCCTTTAAGGCTGTGACGTGCAAAGGTAGAAGCAATTCTGCATACAAGTGGTCATTCAGTTGATCGCCATTCTTCTTGCTTCGACATTAAGCTCCCGCTGACCCACACTCTTCCACACTTTGGTAAACATTTCGGTTGCACTGGCTGCCTGCTCCAAACACCTGAATTTAAGTTTCTTAAACCATTATTTGGGCAGTAACCTCACACTCATGTTCTACAAAAAAATCCAATAGTTTCACACTCACATAAAATTTGGTCTGTGGTTAGGAAACATTTTGGCTGGCTTTCTGGTCACATATCACTCTTTTACTCAACCTCTAACTGATGCAGGGTTTTGTGTGTGGCGTGTGAAAGGCATTAGCCCTTTTTAAATAGGAATTGTGCAAATTTGTAGGAAAGCCCAGTCAGTCTTCGTTCAGCATTGGCAGTATAAAAACAAAATTGGGTGTTTTCGGGGCAATGGGGGCGTGAGCAAGTAACAAAACGACGTGGGAGGGAAGTCGCGGCTGGTCAGTCCTTTGGAGATTCTCTCACAAGTTGGCCCGTTCTTCACCGTCCCCGTCATCTGATGGTAAATGGCTTCTTTGCGAGGACAAGGAGGCTGCGCAATTCCTTGTCTCCCCAGTTGCTCATCTTTACAGTGTCTGTCAGGTTTTCGTTTCCCTCTTGCTACTAGCTGCTCGCTAATTCCTGCTATCAGCTGTTTCCTTTTTTTGCACTGCCAGTGGGTCGCACGTGCAGCATCATCAACAGCTCCTCCCACAAGTCTTCAACAGCCTCTCCTGTTGCAGAAGGCCGCCTTGGTCTGTTTTAACTGAAAGGGTTCCGCCAATATGTCTACCCTACGAGGCGGAAAATTGGGCACCTCGGGTCAACTCGCCAATCCGGCTCTGTGTGTCTAAACGCTCGCAGCTTGCCGGCAAAACGGCCCAACATTCGCCAAAAATCTGGCAGTGTAAAAGGGGCTATTCATTCCTTTAAAGATCATTTAATTGACAGTATATTTTCATTAATTTCAGCAGTTACGAACTAAAGTCGACATACCACATACTTATTTCTTCAGATACGCAACTTTGTCGAACAAAACACTGCATTATTCCCTGATTTACCAATCAGTTCGCCAATTGAATCTAGATTTTGGTCAAACCCACTGATCAAAAGACGTCTGTTATTCATGACGCACGTTCGTGTTTAGACTGTACCACCTCCCTAGATTATCCAAAAGCAGCTGGGGAAAGTGATTTGGGGGTTGCTATTTCGGAAGAGTCAAAGACGAAAGCCCAACTACTGGTCCATGCTTCCTCAGTTTGTGCTAGACATGGACTGACTTGGCAATTTAAAGTATTGCATAGACTTCACTCATCAAAAAATAAGCTCTGTAAAATGTATCTGAATATTAGTCCAGTGTGCAACTGATGTGGGCAGTCACCAGCCTCACAAGCCCATGTGTTCGGACACTGCCCAAGAGGATCCTCATCCACAGACCGCACTCTTTGGTATTAAAGGGTCTGATCTTGTGTTAACCAGCTTCCAACATAGCATGATATTATTTGTAACCCTACTAGCACGTAGATTGATCAATTGGAAGCAAACGCAGACTCTTGCCCATTCTGCCCTCATGATAATTCAGGGCTCCTTCACATTTTCAAGGACAAAATCTCTTTTCGATGACTTTTCAGGGACCCATGAGAAGAAAAAACTGAGACCATTTACAAAGTATAAAACGATCAGAAATTTGTCGTGCGCTTTGCTTCAAATGTTAATAATTGTATGAAAACGAATCAGCAACCTTTTCCGATCTCTTACAGTTGGTTATGTTCATATTTACTTCATATATTTCAGAGTACGGGCTCAGTCATACAGCCTCTTAGTGTACATCATACCCTTTTAAAGCCTCAGAATTGGACGTGGAAGGTTATCGATAGAAGATTACTGCTGAATTGATTTTGTCCCATGATTTTTACCAGGTTTTCCATGACCGCTGGAACCCTGATAATCTAGAAACAAAAGTATTTTCCCCACACTCTTTTCTTTATTTGTAAATACTCATCCAGACCTTGAAATGACTAAAATCAAGTTCTATACTGTTCTATAATGCGCAGGAACTGTGAGTGGAAGTTAAACTGGTTGATTATCTGAATTAATTTATTTTGGGTTGCAAAGACAAGATGCCTTGAACTTTTTCCACATCTGTCTGTGACATTTCATCTGCCTGTATATCAGGATGGTAAATACATTCTACATGGAGGTTGAGTAATACTATAGCTCTTTATATTTCCATATGTATATAAATAATTAAACTACTTATTGAATCATATTTCTGTAGATTTATGTGAATAGACATTTAGTTTTTCTGAATATACAGAGCTCAGAGCGTTATGTATGTGTGTAGTATAGATATTCACATTTTGCCTTGAAACTGTCATGAATGTGCTTTTGTTAAATGTGTGTCAGAGAGAAACTCAGTCCCCTGGGTTGCGAACAAAAAAATGTATGTGCACATTAGGTTATATACACACCAACTATATAATCCTTCAGAAAAACGAAATGCATGCACTCCCACACTCATTCATCCACACACTCGCAGGCGAAACCGTTGCTGTCGGAAGCAAAAAGGCAGCTATTAATCTTTGTTGGTCTTTCCTCCTCCTGTCGTCTCTGCCTCCACCCTTCCTCTCCCTCGCTGCAGCTCTCTGTCTCTCTCAGTGTGAAGGTACACAGGTCAGAGTATCACTATCTTAATGGTTTGAACACACTGCCAAGCAGTGGCCCCGTTTCCACTGGTACGCTACGGCGAGGGAGGCTCTAAATGCTACAGCGATGGGTGTTTAAGGTGGTGTGTCACGGGGGTCACGGCAGCGCTCAGTCGCTCTCTTCTCACGCCTGTCAGGGGAACAGGCGAGACACGGGTGTTTGTGTGCCCTCGTGTGACCCCTCCTCCTCCCCCTCACACTCCCACTCTCCTCCTCCGTCTCCTCGCCCCCCCCTCCCTCCTTCCCTCTCCCCGCCAGCAGGTGTGCAGGTGCTTGTTAGAGGGGGTCCCAGAGGGAGAGCGAGGGATGGAGTGGCGGCGGGGTATGGCAGCGTGTTGGGCAAATGGTATCGTAAAGACGGAAGGAGAAGACGGAGGGATAAAAGATGAGCGCTGCATTATAAGCGTCCCAGAGGGAGGGAGTGGCTGGGGAGAGGAGAGACGGAGAGGGAGAGTGACAGGTGTTGAAAGAATAACGTGCAGGGAGGGAGGAACGACAGAGGAATTTGAGATGCGAGGCAAAATACAGCCATCATGACACGTTCCTGTACAGTATGAGTCTGCAACTGTAAATGTGTCTCTGTTTTTCCTTCTTCTTTCCTGTTTTCTTTTCTAAGATATTGGATGTCATAATGATTTTACTTTTCTGTTTTTAAAAGCTGCATTACAGTAATGTAATTTTCTGAAGGTAGCACACTGTTCTCGTGGTTTTATTAATTGCCTTTACCCATTTAAGGCAGATTTACAGTTGTGCGTCAGCTCTATGCAGAGCCTACACACGAGGCCTACACCATTGTGAGCATTTATACTTGTGCAGTGGTGTGTCTGTGTCACTCTGCAGTTACACCTCCAAAGTGCTTGACTTTGGTGGGGTTTTCATGAAGTGCTGTGAAGTATGATTGATTCAAAACACACATTAAACACACATTAAACATGGCTTAATAGAGACAGTTTCAAACACAAGTACACAAATCAGCTTCACTATAACTAGCAGAATTCACAGACAAACAAATGTCTTTATCTGGACACATTTTCCCCACAAATACAACATGCTAACGTTATTAGCACAAGCCTATGGCATTTTACATTGCATTAATTAGCATAGCAGCTAGTGGACTTTTCCTCTACTCATATGAAGCCAGGGACAACAGAAACATTTAACAAAGGTAAATGATTATTGCAATGGTCTGTTTGTAGGACTTTCAAAACAAGCTGTTGGGCAACTTCAGCTTATTCAGAATGGACCCTGAAAAAAACCCTCAAAATCTTGCTGCTTCTGTGGCTCAGCTCAAATATATCTCTGACATGCTTGTAACATATAAACCTCATAGGACCAAAAGGACATCTGAGGCCGGCCTACTGACCGTCTGTGACCACTTTTAGGTCAAAGCTAAAATTCCATTTTCTCACTGCCTGCTCCACCCTGTAATGACTGCAACCTTATTTCAAATTGCAACCTTATTTTCTCAATTTAAAATTATTCTAAATAATATTTTTTTATCTTTGCACCTCTTGTCTGGCTCTTGCTATTTTTAATTATTTTTTCTTTAAATTTTAAATCATTTAATAATTCATTCTACCTTTTATATCTTTTTTCCTTTCTCTTTACTCTTTTCTGTATCCTTTATGTGTTTCATATTTTATTGCTCTGGGAAAGACATACTTGTGTATGAAATGTGCTGTACAAATAAAGCTGCCTTGCCTTGCCACAGACCAAGTGCCATCTAGTTCCATTATACCGGAAAGAAGGCAGACATCTCTACGGCCAATATCTACAACACTTGGCACCTCACACCAAAACAGTCTAGATTGGCCCAGACACACCAAACCAATGTCGGAGAAGTATTGGCGACAAGAACCCCCTGCTGTTTGCACAGGAACACACCAAACCAATGGCCAACAAGCTACCTATGTCCTGCGCCTGCGTGAGAAGACATACCATTCCACACCAGCAGACCGTGGTCGTCTGTAATCATCATTTTAAAAGGGAAAATAGGAGAACACCTAGATGCTAGTTAGCCAGTTAGCATATTAACAACACAATCCAATGTTGAAAGAACAGAGCATATGTGCTATGCACCAGTGAAAAATAACACAAACTACTGGGAAACATTTCCTCTTAAGAAAAACGATCTTACCTCATATAACAAGTTAATTCTGTCCTCACTCCCTCTTGACTTTAGCTCTTTGTTTACGTTCCTCACTTCCATTTCTTTTCTCATGTACTGACCTGAACTGCCAATCATATTGATTCCATTTACGGACGGGCTACAATGTGCCCTTTTTCCGCCGATTCAACATGCTGAATCGGTGGAAAAAGGCCAACTAGCACTGACAAGGGCCAACGGTGTGGGACAAACCGCATGGATGAGGGAGGCAGATTCTCATTAACAGCCCAAATTCAACCGATGGCCAAACATCAGCTTGGTGGGTCTTAAGAGGAAAAATATGTACTTTTGATTCTGGGGTGAACTGTCCCTTTAAATTAAAGGCTGATTATATGTGATGCACTTAAAAAGACCAATAAAATAAGCAAAACAAATTAAATGAAAAATAACTTACTGTTCATTTTCGAAAACCGACTTGTTTAGACTTTATTTTGTTTAAGGTTCACGTCCTCAGTGGATTTGATGCTGGCTAAGGAACATTACAGTACACAAGTTCATGTGCTGTGAGTGTGCTACGGTAAAAAAGAGCACACTGTGTTGTTGAGTAAAGTTTGACAGAGCTTACTCACACTTTCCCTTGAGGAGGAATCTGCAGCACAAGATTCACCTGTGGTTTAAACAAGCATAGAGGTATCTATATGTATTTCCGGAGCCTTTTATTTTCTCCTTTAGGCTTCCCTGCGCTCTGAGAAAGTCTTAATTCCCCAGCCCTCATACATCTAACCCATCTCGCTTGCAAAGTTAGCACCTAAGCCCTTCTAAAAGTCTTCTAAAAACGCAGCTATTTTTGTTGGTGTGTGTGTGAGAAGAAGAAGAAGAAGAAGAAGATGACGAGAGCAGGAAAAAGAGAGTGAAATGGTGCAAAAAAGACGAGACAGAAAAACAGGAAAAGAGAAGAAAGGTTTGATTCCAAGGTTTTCAGTTGAATTTGAAGGTCAGGATCGACTCAGGAATATTCCTGTCGAGACAGGGCGGATGAGTCGGAGAAGTCCCTAGAAAACCCCCCCAACTTATCACCAGCCAACATACTCCCTTTGCATTAATTCCTTAGGAGTGGGTTTGTAATATTCACACAACTTCAGCAGATGTATGTGTTGGGGCCGCGCTATAATTCACGGTGTCCTCTGCCACGGTGAAATTACCCAAATGCTGTGCTTAATGGAAGCGACACCTACGGCCTCCTGTAGCGCGGCAATAGGCTGCTGGTGGGAGTGTGTCATCTGCATACGTTAATATTCATGAGCAGCAGACAGTCAAGAGGTGAGGCGTCCCCGCTCGCTCGGCGCACAGGCATGCTGGGAACGCTGGAAGTTGCAGGAGTGAGAGGGAGTGAGGCAGAGTTTAATCTAGTGAAACGTACAGCCATTATGAGCGTTCGCGACGGAGAAATAATAGCCTTTCCGGGGGCGACGCCATGACCTGTGACTGGGATGTATGCGCTAAGCTAAAAATGGCGCATGTCACTGTTGCTTTGTAGCGCCTGTGCACACACAATATTACCACAGTAACCTGTCAGGACTGTGTCTGTGTGTGTGTGTGTGTGTCCAGCTCATTAGAAAGGTCATAGTTTCAGCTGGCCAGATGTGTTTCTAATGGCTGTATAAATAACATTTACAAATAAAAGCATTGTTTCCTCTTCAGAGCATCTGCTGCTGTCATTAAGGACCTGGCTTATGCTTTAATCATAAGCCATTATCAGTTCTCGCTCGGGAACTGCAGCACACACGCACACACACTCACACACATACAGTACGACCCGATGGGAGCGGGGAGAGGGTGAGCAGGAAAGGATCGAGACATCTGTTTCTTCTGCGCCTGTTTGTAACTCTTCCAAAAGAAATAAAGAAAAGTTTGCTGCGAGAGGAACTTTTTAACTGAATCATAATCTGAGGAGCGAAAGGGGAGGTGTCGGTGCGGTATAAGTGAACGGAGGGAGGGCAGTTAAAGACGCGCCACTCGCCTCCGTCTCCGCCAAAGTAAACAGGAAATATAGCGCTCATAAAGCCGTGATAGACTCAGTTAAAACTGAATAATGCTCAAGTTAAGATTGTGCTAATGAGACATATGACGAGGGAGAGCGACTGTGCAGAAGCCTGTGTTTGTGTGAGTACACATGTGCAGTAAATCGTGATAAAAAAATAATAAATAATTTAAAAGGTGTTTGTTTGTATGACATGAACAATCATATAAATTGTGATTTAGTGCCATTAGAAATGGGTTTGACTGTATATGTGTATGTGTCTGTGAGTGTAGAACACTGTACAAAGCCCTGTGCGCCGCCTGAGCTGCTGTAAAGATTGAATCAAATGTACATTTCCGCTTAATGCACCGGCTTTAGATCAATATTAAATGCTTTATATTAATATTAAAGCAAGAGTAGGCAGTTTGACTTTAATGTCATTCAGCAAAAATCCCTGATAAGCTTTGAGCATATTGTGATTCAAGGGAACTAAAGCTACGGCTTCATGTTCATGATTTTGCAGCTAATGTTACAGCTACAGCCTTGAATCACAGTGTGTCATCTGCCTCATGTGGGATTTATACCTGTGCATCAAATCGACGCCGTACCTATCCTTTAATTTCACAGATAAGAAACAATAAATTGTGAAGACAATAAAGCCTCCACAAAAATAGCATTTTAAGTCTTGTGTGTGATTTATCCTGGCTTCATATGAGCAGAGGAAATCTCTGCTCGTCGCCAGGCTAATTTATACAATGTGAAATTCCATAGGCTTGTGCTAATAACGTTAGCATGTTGTATTTGTTTGGAAAACGTGTTTAGTATAAGACAGTTGTTTTGTCAGTGAACCTTGTGAGATGTAATGGAGCTGAATTTTGTAACGTTACCTTTGTTAAATGTTGCTGTTGTCCCTGGCTTCATATGAGTAGAGGAAAAGTCAACTAGCTGCTAGGCTAATTTATACAATGTAAAATGCCATAGGCTTGTGCTAATAACGTTAGCATGTTGTATTTGTGGGGAAAATGTGTCCAGATAAAGACAAGTGTTTGTCTGTGAATGCTGTGAGTTATAGTGAAGCTGATTTATGCACTTGTGTTTGAAATTGTCTCTATTAAGCCATGTTTAATGTGTGTTTAATGTGTGTTTAAACAGTTTAAAGTTTGGGTGAAGAAAATGCTTCATACATGTACAAACTCCAGACAAATATTACTGCCAGGTTCATGCACTGTATCATCTGATGGATTTTGACACACCTATTGTTGCTGTTGTAATTTGTTGTTATGTTTTTCTTGGTTAGATCTCAGTTGTAAAAGCAGTTCTAATCTCAATGTTTATTCCAGTTGAATAAAGATTATGTATGAATTTCAACATCAAACAGTTTTTTCTGATCTTGCCTTCAAAGTTTAAAGTAGATGATGGAAGCATGAGGTTTTCACTATAAAGCAGTTACATATGCATAGTGTGTTAGTGTGTGCTTGTGTGTGTTCATACCCAGCTCCCGTCATTGTCTCTGTGTTGCTGACAGCCAGGCTGACCACCTCGGTGACGTCCACCCTGCTGATGGGCGACGGACTTCTCTCGCTCTCGTAGTAACTCAGGTAGCCGCCCTCCAGCGTACACCAACGACGTGTCATGTCTGAAATACCCACAATCATGTTTGCATGTAAATATGTGGACACATGGCATCAAACTGACTCAGAAATGCCAGAAAGTCAGTGGTATCTACTTAAAGTTTGCTACATTAGTTAGCATTAGCCACCAGTAGGAGGGGTTCAAGGATGGAATTTTCGTACGTCATAGCCTATGATTTAGTCGGCGCTGTCATCATACAGTCTGCATAAATCAAACTCGATGTCGTACCTAAGTTTATTAGATCTATATCGCACAGTGTAGCTGCACTACACTTATATGATTGCTAAAATCTTTTTTTTTTTTTTTTAAATTTCAAACATGCCCCGCCACCCCTTTCAAGGACTTGCTTAAAATATTCATTACATGTCTATGACACAGATGTTGTCTGCACACGGCTCTCAGCATGGAGGTGGCTGAGCTGGCAGCTAGCAGCTAACGGTGCTAACTCCATAATTAGTGCATCTGTGCTGACAGAGCAAATAATGTTAAACAGGGGGATGGATGGCGTTATCAGAGGTAACCAACCAGCGTTGCCAGGTGGGAAATGTAGGCTTAATGTACCAGAGACTCAAAATTATCGTATTTTGAGGGAAATTAACCTTACATCTGTCATAACCAAAATAACAATCCTACTGATGCTCTATAGGCAAATATAGTCACTCTAGTGCAGGGGTTCTTTACCTTTTTGACCTTGGGGCCCAACTTTTCTAGTACAATGTGGCCCGGGGCCCATTCAGATATTAACATGTTTAATTGATCTTACTCTCAGTCTGTATTCAATAACTAGATCAAATCCACTTCCAATTAATAACCTAAAAATGTATCAAATAAATTACATAATACAATGTGATCATCACAGAAACATTTATTTATCATGTGGATATAAATCTACACATCCGTCAAGATGCCGAACAGGCTAACAATTCATGGGACAAATGTGCTACAAGAACATATTTAACAACAATTTTAAAGGCTCAAGTTACAGCAAAAAGGATGGCCTCTCAAAAAACTGATAAGAAAAATTAGAAATTTGACAAATAATATTATGTGGTGATAAATACGTTCAAAATAATTAAAGTTACAATACTGCCTCCCACCACTTGGTGGCGGTAATGCGTCAGTCAGTTGTTTAACAGTTAAACAACTGACTGACGCATTACCGCCACCAAGGGGCGGGAGGCTGTATTGTAACTGAGTGTGTCAACATAACAGTATGCGGCCCTTGCGGCCCACAGGTGCAAAACGGAATTTGTTTCGCGGCCCTCTAGGTGGCGCTCGCGGCCCAAGTGTGGGCCCATGGTTAAGAATCCCTGCTCTAGTGTTTACTTTTTGGTTGACTTTTTTTCCATTTTCCTTGCTTCTGTTTTTCTACGATCCGGTCCTAGCGCCTCGTGGGGCAGGTACAGCTAACCATTCACCCAATCATGCTCATTGTTCAGAGACAAACGTCACCCGTATCTCACGCTAAGCAAAGTGCGATTGGCTGGAAGCATGTCACATGGGAACAGATGCCTTCAGGGCTCACAAAAAACTCCAGCATACTGATTACAACCACACATTCATGAACTGGTCAAATTATCGTACATTTGGCCTTTTTTGGGATTATTGATCGTACATCGTACAGAGGGCCAAATTATCGAACAAATACGATAATTATCGTACACCTGGCAGCAATTAGCTAACGAGGGGAAACTCACATGCACATGTTGTCCGACCGTCTGCCACAACAGTGAACAGAGGAGCTCGTATTACAACACACACAGAGGGAGCGTGACTTCACTATGTGGTCAGGACTAAAGCTGGGCGATATACCAACTCTGTACGATATATCGATGTATTTTCAAGCAAGATATAATCTTAGACAACACTGTTTATATCGATATAGGGTCAAGCTGCGTTACATAATGGATATCTCTCACACTCTCCACACAGCTCTGGAGACAGCACCTGGATGTGTTTAAAAAAAGCAGTGTCTACACAGACACGTCATCGTCAGGACGTCATTACTCCACATAATCTTTATACAGCTGCTGTATTGATGCTGTGAATGTCATATACAGCTCCTTGAAGCCCCATGTGGTCATGTTTCAGTACATGAACAGATATTAGCAGTCTCCTTAAATAATCTGCAATACTTATGCAAACAGAACTCTTCAATATGTTCGGTGCCTCTATTGGATTACCACTGTCAAGCCAAACATTTGCATACTGATAAAACTTAACAAATTGGCCATTGTTCTTGTGGAGTCAGAAAAAGAAATTAATTAGAGCCTGCAATGTTAGTGATTGGTTTGTGAACAATTAGCACCACTCCAACCCTATTTAACACAGCTAATGACTCTCTGCACGCTAAGACAGCACCGCCGAGAAATCGTTTAAAAGTTCGGAGATAAGACGCCGTGCATCACAGCTCTCACACATGTCACAGGCCTCCACTTTTCTTCTTCGTACGGGTGCATTCAACTAAAAAAAAAAAAACAGTTGTTTTTATCCAAAGCCAGACGTTAAGAGATAATACCACCTGAAGGCCGTGAAGCGAACATCCTTCCAGAGTCAACATCTGAGATGCAGCGTGAGAGAAAAAAGAACATCCATACTGTAATTAGTAAAATTCAGAGAGCTGGCAGACTGTGGCCTCCATTTCCAAATCAACAAAAGAAGTCTTGGCAGCATCGCTGTTAACAACCAGAGGATTTAGCTTGTGCTTCAACATCACAATGACTTATGTCGCTCTTTTTTCCCGTCCATTAGAGGACAACTGAGTCAAGCTTACTGTACTCGGCATGCGAGGGCACACACGCGGAATCTAAAGAGACTCCAAGTACCGAGCAGATTTCAATCAACAGACATGATCTCGGTGGAGAAACTGGAAAACACACAGCATTGTCTTTAATGACTGTCTGACTGTGCGATTTACATAGCCAATGAGCATGAAGTTCATGAAAACATACCTAATTTTGGATTTTCAAAGTCACCGTGCCATCTGCTTTTGTGTTCCGCAACAAACACACACACACAAACATACACACACAAACAGCCCCCCACCTCACCGCGCACCCCCTGTCGCTTGCGACTCCAAAGTTTCCACTGTATTCATCTCATGAATATGCTAATTGTGCATTCCTCTGCCAACTGTGTGTGATGTTTCTGAAGGAACAGATATAGTTCCAATAAAAAAGGAAGTGTCTACAACTGGCTGTTAAAAGAAAAAGGATGTGATAAGCATGGGAAAGGAGGATGTCAGTTTCGCTCTATTCACCCTCTCTGTGCGGCTCTCTCTTTGTCTTCTTCGTCTCAACAAAACAATCTGGACACAAACAGCTTTAAAACGGCGAGATGACGAACGAGATATTAGTCACTTTCTCATAGTTTTAAAGTTGCTTACTGTGGCATTTAAAGAATACTGTTCTTCTGACCCCACTTTGAGAGAAAAAATAATAATTCCAGCAGCTGAAGAATCATCTTTATCTGAAACCAATCATGCATGTCGCAGTTGTGTATTTGCCGGAAAGAGAGAAACAGAGACACTCTGGTATTTAAAGTCATTACCAATCCAATCTATCAGACAGGATGCGCTGTTGTCTTGGTGACGGAGAAGATTGTAATGCACTTCACTTCCGTTCCAAATGTGTCCCTGGATTGCTCGGGTTCTGCAGCAAATGTCATGTCCATCATTTCCCACTGGGGGATAGTTACGTTCTTATTTTGTGCAATATTTTCCTGTAATTTCTGCCTTCTTTCCCTCTGTCCCCTCTCTAATAGGGTAATAACTGAGTAGATTCATTTGTACAATCTGAAACCCTCGCACAATCATCTTCTTAAGAGGCACACTTGATTTTCTAACTGAAGTCAATTGCCATCATAAGCTGCTAGAAAGCTGTAACGCCATTGATTTTCGAGGCATTTTGCTTTGTAATGGCTCCTGGGGTTGCAGAGGTTATGTTGTGAATGATGGCGTGGCAAATACAAACAGGTGCTGTCCAGGGGCCACAAGATAATTCTGAAGGGTCACAAGAGGATGATAGGGACAGGAAATCATGTGTTTTGTATTACCAACCAACCAACCTAATCAAACCCCCCAAAAAGTTGGCATTAGACATTTCTGCAAACCACAAATACTTTACATTTGTAGATTATTATGCAGCAGATATGTCGAAAAGTAAGTTTAGGCACTAAAACACTTGGTTATGGTTTGGAAAATCACATTTTGACCTAAAATACCCAGCTTTAAAGGCACAATCCCAGCTGGAAACGCAATGTCTCTGTAAAAAACAACCACTTTCCGTGGCACTGTGTCCCTGGCGTGAAAAAAGCCATCTACATCAAACTGTAACCACCATCGTTCAACAGAGGAGGTGGCCTACGACACCACTTATCACCCACCTATAACGCAGTCTTGAGATCGCTTCCCAGAAAACTTAACACCCACTCACGCCTGGACCCATCTGACACACACGAAGGCCGGGTGGGTCAAGGACTCACATGTGACCTCAACAACTATGTACGGGTTCACACCTACACAGGGTTTAACGCCTCCGCACAAGTCCATTAGAACTGAGGAAGCTTCTTGGGTGAAAGGTGAAACATATTCAAGAAACCCCTGCGAGTCCAGTTGCCTATGATATAGCACTTAAGATAAACAAAATAAACATTTGGGGGGTAAAAATGTGCAGGAAACACAGTGATGGGTCCCTAAAAAACAACCATGTTTCAGAGTGAAAATAGACTAGAAAAAGAACCACGGTTCCCACGAAAACTCACACATTTAGAAGCTGAAAACCCCCAAGAAACAGAGTGATGGTTCCCTAAAAAACACTGACATTTGGGGGCTAATAAACCACTGGAAAAAGAACCACAGGTCCTGGAAAACACCTGCATTTAGGGGCTAAAAAGCCACTTAAAAAAGAACCATGGGTCCCAAAAAAGACACACACATTTAGAGGCTGAAAACCCCCAAGAAATAGAGTGATGGTTCCCTAAAAAAACATCGACTTTTGGGGGCTA